TATAATCTGTTGTTGATTTTAAATTTTGTTTTTCTATATCAACAATATAAACAGTTTCCATTGATCTTTCAGCTTTTTATTCAGCAATTTCATCATCATATATATGAATTATAAGAAGTTCTATATGATCAAATTGTTGAAAATTTTGAATAGTTTGATTTGACCATTGAAATTTTCGAGTATTATAACTTATATCAAAAATTCCATTATATTTTTCAAGTAAATATCTATTAATTAAACTAGCATCTATATTTAATGGATTAAAAAAAGAAATTTCATTATGTGTTGCTGAAATTGGAATACAATCATTAATTCTTTTTGTAACGCATGTTGCCATATGATGTACTTCTGATAATGATGTTGTATTTGGTCTTCGATAAGAATGAATTGAATGATAATCATCAATGTTAAAAACGTGTATATAATTTTGCTAAATAATTATTAAATTACATTAATATAGTATAATATATAATAAATTTAAAATATAATAAATTATTAAAAATACTTACATTATTTATAAAATAATTAAAAATTTTTGAAGGATGCTCTTTTGCTATTTTTTTCTTATAATCATCAATTGTTTTATAACATGCTGAAATTCCAAGATTTGCTAATGTATCTAAAGCAGAAGAACTACATCCAGATGCTAATAAATAAAGTCCTATTTCTATTTTTAATTCATTTGCAAATTTATTTCGAGCTCCAGCAAGAAGATAACAAAATCTAACAGCTGATTTTTCATCATTTTCTCTAGTTTGAGAATTTCTATATTTTAGACTTATAGCATTAAAAATTTCATCAAAGAATCCGCTAAGTTGAAAATTAGAAGTTGTAATTAATTCTGAAAATTTTTTAGAATCTAGTTCTATTGAATAATTTAATCTTCTTTGTTCTTTAAAAAGAACTTTTGAAAGTAAATCGATTTATTTTCAAAAGTTAAATCTGAAATATTATTATTAAATATTAATATTATAAATATAAAATAAATATAATAAATAAATAAAGTATAATAAACTTACTTGATTTTGCTTGAAGTAATTTTAATTCATTAGTTCTATTAATTAATTTAATAAAATCATTTTTATTTAAAGTAACTTGATCATCAGAAATATCAATTATAATATCTTTCTATTCATTATTAATAGTTTTAGAAACTGTAAAAACCTCATAAATTTTTTTACTAGCAACAAAATCTGTTAATTTTTTTTTGTTTCCTCTATCTGGTTCTACAATTCTTAAATAATGAGCATCATATAATTGATTATTTAATATTAAATAATTATAATCATCAAATGTATTTTTTTTTTTGGATTTTTCAATAGCTTTTGCTGTAAATTTATAATACCGATTTGCATTATGATTACAATCTTTAACTTTGCAAGGACCTTTGTTTTGTTCTAATGGCATTTTAAAAAATTTATAAATATAAAAAATGTTTAATTCACAAAAAAAAATTATTTTATAAAATCTTATTATTTATATATTTATTCATATTACATATTATTTATAAATTTATACAATTAATACATATATATATTAACTTATTAATTTATTATTAATACATTTATTTATTATTCGCTTATTTGTTATTTACACATTTATTTATATATATACTTATTTGTTATTTACAGTCAGACCCCCCTAAGCACACATTTTCTAAGTGCATGGTATATAAAAAACCCCCTCTAATATGCATGCCTCTGCTTGGTCCCAACTTATATAGCAATTATAAAATTTAATCTTCCTAAGTGCATATTTTGTATTTTTTTCACTATGGTCCCAAGGGGTGTGCACTTAGGGGGTGCGACTGTATATATCTATTAATTTATACATACCTATTAATCATTTATATGGTTATTTATTTATAAAACTATTCATTGTTCACGTATCTATTTGTTCACATACTTATTTATTTATATAAAGATGCGATTCTAGTATTCTCTAATTTAATTTTATATAAAGAATCCGAATATCTGGGTAGCCATTAAATTTTAAATAGAAAAATAAATAATGGATTGCATCTATTTATTTATACATCTATTCATTTTCATATACTACACACCTATTTATTCACGCATTTACTGTATTCATTTTCACATACCTGTTCATTATTCATACGTCTGTTATACAACATCAGAATAGAATCTTGGTAAATTTGGAATCAACATAGGTTAATTCTAAATATACTTAAATTAAATTTTATCTAAATTTTAATTATTGCGAACTTAATTATTAGGAAGGCAATCTGATCTTATTTTTAGTTTGAACGAAAGTTTTACTTTTTATTATATTTTTTTTATCGAAGAATTATAAAATTTTCTAAATTTATGAAATAGGGATCTCTAAACACTCCCAATTCATTAAAATAAATAAGATTTTTAAAATACTCATTTAATTTTAAAATGTGCTACTTATTTGTTAACTTTAAAACCCTCTACTTATTTGTTTTCAAATTAAAAAATTCAGTTACCAAATCTATTATCTATTAATTCAAACCTAAACCCTTAAATTTTTTGCGCCTAAAACTATAACAACATAATGTCTAACCCATCTTCTCACCATTCAACCTATCTTATACCCGCCTAGTATTGGCAGGCAAAACTTAGAGGTTTCGCCACAGACGAATGGCGAAACCTAGTTTTGACTTTCACCAAAAAAAAATCAAAATGGTGAAATGGTGAAAGGTGGCGAAACTGGCGAAACTGTGAAAGGTGGTGAAACTAAAAAAAGATAGCAAACTAGTGAAAGATAGTAAAATTAAAAAAAAAAGCAAGAATAACAAGGTAATTAAAGATAATTAAACCTTTTTTATAATTATTTTATATATACAATGAGGACTTAGTTAGGCATCACATAGCGCGAAACTCTTATTAGCCAAACAAATTGATGCGCGATAAATAAGAGTATTGCGCTATGCGATGTACTGTATATATTCAATAATTTGATTTACAAAATGGCTCAGTCTTTTCTAAAGTCTTAGAGGATTTTATCTTCGCTGAGTTCTAACTTTTCCCAGGGTTTCAACTTTACTGAGGTTTCGCCAGAGTTTCATCATTTCGTCAGAGTTTCGCCATTTCGCAGAGTTTCGCCTGGTTTTGTCTTTCGCCATTTGCCAAAAATAGTTTCGCCTGCCAACACTATACCCGCCTAATTTATCTAATTTTGTAAATGCACAATGGTCCATATTAATCATTTAATTCATCTTAATTATTCTATCAGCCTAAATAAAAGATTATTTATTATCATTAAAATTAAAATCAAAAACTCAAAAGCATAAATACATATCTATTTTTATAATATTTCATTCGCCCTAAATTTAAATATTATTTATTAGCCTTTGAAATAAATTAGCAAAACCTTCCATATATACTGATTTTTTAAAAAAAATAAACAGCAAATCCAATTTAGCAAGCATTAACTTTAGACAAAAATACATATATCTTTGTGCTCACTATCTCAATATACATTATCCCGAAGATGATAGATAAATATTAACCAGTTGCAAGTGTTGTAAAAATAAATGAAAGTTAAAAATGTATATTAGCAAAAGTAAGTTTAGTGGTGTATCCACGAAACATAAAAATCTACTCTTACCATAAACTAAGTAGAATTTCAACCAACTTTATTTTCCAAAGTTTTCCGACCCTTCCAACATTATTTGAGCC